CAGAATTGAATTGGTGGCAATACATTTGGTGGTTGTTTCTATTCTGGATGAGTCAGAATCCACTCGATGGTGATGAGCAGTGGTTACATGCATACAAAATCCATTATGCCCAAACGACTTCGTACTATGAATCACAAAAAGAGCCCTGATGACACAGTGGTTTAACTATTTGGCTGCTGCACAAAAGATCAGCAATTCAAAACTACCAGACACTCCATGATAGAAAGATGAGGCACTGGGCTTTCATACAGATTTACAGCCTTGAAAACCCTATGGAGTTATACTCTGCCCTATACAGAATAACTATGAGTCAGAATCAAATTGACAGCAAGGGGTTTTTTATTTATAGATCAAAATCAAAATAGTTCAGATGTAAATACTTTCTAAGTTATAAACAGATCAGCCACATGCAGTTTAAAATTTCACCACATGAGGGCGCTAAAATTCTACAAACCACAGCAAATTACTAAAATACAGTTCTAAAAACACCTTTACTCACTTCAAGTCATCATCTTTCCAAACAAGATCTAGTTGACAGACTTCCATTAAATTGAAATAGATAACAGAACAGCAATTAATGTTTGTTCTATTTATCAGAACAAGATTGAGAGGGGAAATCACAAAGGTAAGCAAAAATCTAGCAGAAAACAAGATGCTAATTACAAATGGGTGTGTGAGTAATGGTTTTAAGACATGAAAGGAAAATAAAAAGTGTGTGGGTGCGGGCGCACACACACATGTGTCTGTGAACCAGGATGAATAAGGTTTGAGGAAATAATTTCAAACAGTGCTAGGTAAGAGTCCAAATGGTCAAATTTTGTTTTCTGGAGGTTTTAGAATTCTCCATTTAGGCACTTTCAACTCTCAGCATCAAGATGATGATGAGTAGGAGGAGGGAGAGGGGGAGGGGGAGGGGGGTGGAAGATGAGTATCATCATCATCATCCTCATCATGAGCTATATACACATCAACTAAGAGCCAGATTCCAGAAATCAATAAGATTTCACCACAAACAGTAATTGTCCATCTTAACCTATGATTAATGTTAGAATGAAAACATAAGTTCTTTAATGTTCTGCAAGAACTATCCAGGTGCTGGTAGTTTTGACGTATCTAAGTTAGCAGTGAAATGCCTTAAAAACTAAAACAAGCCTTACATTTATGTCAGAGAAAATGAACAAAAGAGAAAATAAAAAGGCAGAAACCCACATGGATTCTGGCTTTGAAACAGACTTGGGGGAGGGGGTCATGGGAGGCATAAAACAGTGGGAAAAGAAACAAGGGTCTAAATTCGAGACTTACCAGTAAACATGAAGGAAGAGAGAACAGTGAATCAATACACTAATAATATCTCAGAAGTCTCCATTCCCTAAAAAATTTAGATTCTTTTACAGTTAATGAAATAAAAATGCTTACTCGTTTTATAGAATTCCACCGTGAGTCTTATGGAAAGAGCACAGAATAGGAGATACTTCTTGAGTTCTAGTCCTGGCTCACACTAATTAAGCAATGTGAAAACTGGCAGGTCAGTTAAACTACTAATATCCATCACCACATTCTACTCTAGAAGTATGTCACATCAGTGTAGTTTTTTCAACATGTTTTGAGTCAAATTTATTAACATCTGACAGCTCCTTATTAGAAACAAATTTCCCCTTAACAACAACAAAAACAAAAGTCTCACTGCCATTAATTCCATTCTGACTTGGGGCAACTCCAGAGGACTGGGTAGAACTGGCCCTTGTAGGTTTCTGACACTCACTCTGGTAGTATAAAGTCTCATCTTTCTCCCATGAAATGCTAATTGCTGACCTTGCAGTTAGCAGTTCAACGCGCAACCCACCACGCAACCAGTTTTTATGCTTTCAATAAGCTAATAAGAACTGCCAAAAGCTGACACATGAATGTCTCCAATATAGTGTACAAGTGATGAAGATTCCCTTATCACCTCAGGGAGGGAAAAAAGTACATGATGGCCAATAAGTGTGATTCCACCAATTCTAAAGTCCTACCCTGTTCTTAAACATTTTTCTACATTTCATCACCTCTAAAATCGATAAACATTTAACTGGCAACCTTGTTCTTCTGTAATGGTACTAAAAAAGTTGTACTACAAATAAATAACTTAGATAAAATACAGTACCTTTACATAGCTTGTATAAAGGTGTCCTAAAGAACTATTATTTTAAATTTTATATCCAATACAAATTTATAGAATACATAATTTCTACAAAGCATCATTAAAAGAT